ATTTTTTTTTTTTTTTTTTTTTTTTTGTACCTGGGATTGAACTTGGGTCTGGCAGGCACCGGAACCACTGAAACAAATCCCCAGCCCTACAATGGTATTTTTTAAAAGCAAAAGATTCTAATTTTGACGTGGTTCCATTTTATCAAATTTTTCTTCTTTTACAGATCATGCTTTGATATTCTACCTAATAAATCAGCCTGGCCTGTGTTCACAAAGATTTTTTGCTTTCTTCTAGAAGTTTTATAGTCTTGCCTTTTCTATTTAGGTCTGTAATCCATTTTGCATTAATTCTCATATATGCTATGAGATAAGGTCATAAGTTATCACTATTTTACAGGTAGATTATTGCATTGTTTCATCGTCATTTTGATGAAAAGATTGTTTTTTCTTAACTGAATTTCCTTGGCACCATGGTAAAAATGCGGCTGACCATCAATGTGTGGGTTTATTTCTGGATTCTTTGTTCTCTTCCACTGACCCACGTGTCTGTTCTTACCCCAGTATCACACTGCCTTAATTCTTGCAGCTTTGTATTAAGCTTTGAAATCAGGAAGTCTGTGTTCTGAAACTTCTTTTTTTTTAAATCGTGTGTGTGGCTGCTCTTGGTCCTTCGCATTTCCATATACACTGTAGGATCAGCTTATTAATTTCTACAAAAATAAGCCTCCTGGGATTCTGACAAAGTTGGAATGAATCTATAGACCATGAGGAGGTCTTTTTAATCCTCAAAAATTGTCTGCTCCCATTAGCAAAGGTGGGCAGCTGGAGTCACAAGGAGAGGAGAAGGACTGCGGGGAGGCCAGTTCTCTCTGGGAAATTCCTGAGTGAAGTGTTGCAGGCCACATTCTTTCCCCATTAGGAAATTCTGCAGAGGGGATGGTGGTAGACCAGAAGATGAATTACCATCAATCAGCAGAAAGCAAGGCTTTCAGATATTCTTGGAACAAGACCCGTTATTCTAAGAGTTCACTCAGTATTAACTGAGAGCCCTAGGAGAAAGAAATAAATAATGTCTTGGCTGCCTATCGCAGGAGGCTGGTCTTGACCCCATTACCGTGGCATGATCGAAGTGAGGTTCATAGTGCCCTCCAATTCCATAGTTCACCACCTGGAGATACTCTGCATGAGGAGGCTGGACATCAAGGCCTGTGAGGGCAGCGATGCGGTGGTCAAGGGTCACCAGCACTGGATCAATGGTGTCCTTCAGCCAGGCACTAAAACATCATAGATTGCAACATCAGTGATCTGATGCTGGAAATGACTACATGATTTCTGTGAATGAACGAATGAATGAACAAATGATACATGTCAACAACAGAGGAAAGAAAGGAAGGGCAGGAGGGAAGAAAGGCAGCTATGAATGATCACCTACTCACCCCTTACATTAGGTCTGTCCAGTCCACTTTGTCCTCTATCAACATTCATGTTCATTCACTCCACAAACATTCTCTGAGGCTCACTGAATGTAAGCCCAACACTGGGTGCTAAGGCTACCAAAAATGAAGGTTCACAGCACCCAGGACTGTGATACAAGGGGGAAGATCTTGCCCTTAAAGCCACTATGTTGCACAGACATCTACAAAAGAAGGGATCTGGGTGCAATGGAGAAAGCTTAGGATTTAAAGTAGGAAGACTGCTTGGCACAGTGATGCAATGCGGTGGTCCCAGCTGCTCAGGAGGCTGAGGCAGAAGCATTGCTTGATCCCAGGAGTTTGAGACCAGCCTGGGCAACATAACAAGATCCCATTTCAGTGAGGGAGGGGGATTGAGACTGTAAGACTAGTCCCTGACCCTCTTGGTGATCCTAAATCAGATTTTGTTTGTTTATTTGAGACCTGGGGATTGAACCCAGGGCCTTTGCACTGACCTACATTGCAAGTCCTTTTAAATTTTTTTTGTTTTGAGAGAGGGTCTCACTAAATCACCCAGGCTCAGCTTGAACTTGAAATCCTTCTGACTCAGCCTCCCTAGAGGCTGATTACAGGTGTATACAACTATGTCCAACTCTAAATCAGGTATTTGACTTCTCAGGGTCATTATGCTCATCTATAAAATGGAGACAACAATAATATCTACTTTGTTCACTGGTGACGATTGGGAGAGAAACTCTTTCTTTTTTTTGGTTTTTTCGAGACAGGGTCTCACTATGTAGTTGAAACTGACCTGGAATTCACTATGTAGCCCAGGCTGGTCTCGAACTCACAGCGATCCTCCAGCCTCAGCCTCCCGAGTGCTGTGATTATAGGCGTGCGCCACCACGCCTGGCTTGGGAGAGAAACTCTTAAGAAGATACTTTGTAAACTACATATATGTTTGTGATTACGGTGAAACCCTGGAATCTGCTCCTTGACTCTGCTCCAAGACAAACCAGGATAGGTCAAAGACCACAAAGCATAACTCAGTCTCTTCTGCATATCTTGTTGAGGTTCTGACAAAGCAGAGTTTTTTTTTTTTTTTGGTACTGGGGATTGAACTTGGGTCCTTGTGCTTGCAAGGCAGGCCACTGAACTGCTGAGTTAAATCCCCGGCAAAGCAGAATTTTTGGAATCAGAATTGAAGTGTCTGAGAAATGAGGACAAGCTTCCCAAGCAAAGCCAGTGAGCCTCCTGGGGAGAACATAAGAGTTTGACGGAAGAGCTTTGGCATACTGGAACCACTCCTTTGTTCTTTAAATGATGGATTTGTGCGTTCATTCATCTGTACAGAGTACATGCAGATTACGTCACACGCTAGCATATTACCTTCAAAGAGTTAATGGGCTGGGTGGAGAGGAAAAACAAATACAGTTAAGGAAAATTAGCGTGAAAAAAAAAAAGAAGTAGACTTTAAAGTACAGAGGAGGTGGTGGCGCACACCTGAAGTCCCAGCACTTGGGAGGCTGAGGTAGGAGGATCGCCTCAAGTTCAAGGCCAGCCTGAACTACACAGGTACACAGGAGACCCGTATCCGAAAAACAAGTCCAGAGGAAGGAGAAGTTAATTCTACTGAGGCACTTAGCTGAGATGATGACATTGAAACAAAACTTTGAAGGGTATGTACTGTACAGCTTCTTTTTTTTTTCCTCATTGAGTTTATTGGTACATTTTAGGTATACAGCACAGCTACATTCATCATTGGGATCTTGTACTTTTACAGGACAGGTAGGTATGTACAGTTTCAACAGGTGGAAAAGAGGCAGAGCACTCCCGCCTGAAGAAACGGCATAAGCACAGACATGGATGCATGACAATAAATAATACATGCAGGCTGGGCGTGATGGCACACGCCTGTAATCCCAGCACTCGGGAGGCTGAGGCAGGAGGATTGCTGTGAGTTTGAGACCAGCCTGGG